CCTTGCCGTAGTTGTTCATTGGTCCGGCAGTCCACGGTATATTTGATATTCTTATTTAGTCAAAGGAATGTATTCTTCTTTGATCTTCCTTAAGGATTCTTTGCAGTTCCTTGTTACTCATCCTCATGCAGTTTTGCAGAGGTTGAAAGTACTGTGCTTGGGTCAGGTACACTTTAATCTTCATAGTGGCTTTTCTTCTTCTTTTGACACTTTAAAAAGCATTTGCAGCTGATTTTCTCAATACAAGACATTTGTTGGATTTGTTGACTGCTGCTTCCACGGATTTCTGTTTTCTTTTCTCGTTTTATTGGAAGCTGTTATTATCGCTTCTTGGCCTTTTGTCTAAGATCAAGGGTAGTATCTGTTCTTATCAGTTTATTGGGAGCTGTTACAGATATCATTCCACAGTTCAATCATTTCAAGTGGTAGTATATAATTGCTACCACAATCAGTTTCAAAACATTTTCCTTCTTCTTGAACTCCTTGATATTGGCTCCTCTTTGCCTCCTCCTTCCCCCACCATACCCTCCAGGAACCTTTATTTATTTTATTTCTATAATAGGGTTCCCCCCTCCCGCCCACAACTTACACAGTCCAGTATATCCATTCACATGCACTTCTGTTGCTCCACCCCATCCAGTGGGGGTAAACAGTCATCAGTGCTATCAGCTCTCAATTCCCTGGCTTCCCCCTCTTCTCTCTTCCCATACCCTCAGGGAACCATTACTCCTGTTACTATTTTTGAAGGGTTATCTATCTTGACTTTCATGTACCAAAAAATCTTAATTATATAAATGAACATATGCAAATTTAACATGATTAATGAGGTAAGACAAATAAAACCCATAGTAGTAAGGGGAGGGAATATTAAATAAGTAGGGGATAGTTATGGGGTTCATCAGTGCCAGACTGCACCCTGGGGTATGAGGGGGAAAAAAAAAACAGGAAAGAAGAAAAAGATGTATGTATGTGTCTTTATTTATATATATGCAAATGCAACAAAGAAGCAGATGGACTTTGGGCCGCTATTTAAATCTTACCTCAGTACAAGAATGGTTTGTTCTAATAATACGGCATTGTATGATACCTCCCTGACACAATCACTGAAGACAAATGGGTGCATAAGCAAATGTGAAGAAAGCTGATGGTGCCCGGCTATTAAAAGATATAGCTTCTGGGGTCTTAAAGGCTTGCAGTTTTAAATAAGCAGCCATCTAGCTCAGAAGCAACAAAGCCCACATGGAAGAAGCACACCAGCCTGTGCAATCATGAGGTGTTGATGGGAAGAGCTATCAGAAGTTCAAAAACAAGCAACCAAATTGATGTGATTGAACGTGGATGTAGTGGTGACCCAAAACCCACCTGTAAGATAATTTGACAGTCCCTCTCAGAGGGGCTTCCATGGATTTTGATGGTGGATCCAAATAAAAGGAAATCTTTAAAAATAGCAATCTTTTCTCTATTTTTCATAATGTTGCTTCTAGGTCCAGTTGTGAGGAATGTTGTTTTCTTTATGTTGAAGTATAATCTGTACTGATGAATTTGATCTTGGTCACTAAGGACTTCAAATTTTCTTCTCTGTCAGTAAGCAAGGTTGTGGCATTTGCAAATTGCAGGTTGTTAATAAGTCTTCCTTCCATCCCGAAGCCGCATTTTTCTTCACATAGTACCAATTATTTTCTCAGCATATCGATTGAATAAGTATGGTGAAAGGATGCAATTTTAAAAATTGTTTTATTAGGGGTTCATACAACTCTTATCACAATCCATACATACATCAACTGTGTAAAGCACATTTGTACATTCATTGCCCTCATCATTCTCAAAACATTTGCTCTCCACCTAAGCCCCTGGCATTAGGTCCTCATTTTTTCCCCTCCCTCCCTGCTCCCCACTCCTTCATGAACCCTTGATAATTTATAAATTATTATTTTGTCATATCTTGCCCTGTCCGACGTCTCTCTTCACCCACTTTTCAGTTGTCCGTCCCCCAGGGAGGAGGTCACATGTAGATCCTTATAATCGGTTCCCCCTTTCCAACCCACACTCCCAGTATCGCCACTCACACCACTGGTCCTGAGGGGATCATCTGCTCTGGATTCCGTGTGTTTCCAGTTCCTATCTGTACCAGTGTATATCCTCTGGTCTAGCCATATTTGTATGATAGAATTTGGATCATGATAGTGGGGGATGAGGAAGCATTTAGGAACTAGAAGAAAGTTGTATGTTTCATCGTTGCTACATCGCACCCTAACTGGCTCATCTCCTCCCCGAGACCCTTCTGTAAGGGGATGTCCAGTGGCCTACAAGTGGGCTTTGAGTCTCCACTCCACACTTGCCCCCTCATTCACTATAATATGAGAAAGGATACAATGTTGACTGACACACACCTTTCTTGATTTTTAAACCATACAGCAACCTTTGTTCTGCTAAAATGACTGTTTCTTAGTCTATGTACAGGTTCTGCATGAGCACAACAAGGCTTTTTGGAATTCCCATTTATTGCAAAGTTATTAATGGCTTGTTATGAGCAATATAGTCAGTTCCCCACACCGTTTGCAAAGTCAATAAAGCACAAATAAACATCTTTCTAGTATTTGCTTTTAGCCAAGATCCATCTAAAATCAGCAGTAATATCCCTTGTTCTACGCCCTCTTCTGAATCCTGCACAGATTTCTGGCAGTTCCCTGTATATTTATTGCCACAACTGTTTTTGAGTTATCTTTAGCAAAATTTTATGTATATTAATGATATCATTTGATAACTTCCATATCCTGCTGGGTCGCCTTTCTTTGGAATGGGCACAAATGTAGATCTCTTCCAGTTGGTTGGTCAGGTAACTATTTTCTAACTTGCTTGGCATCCAACCTTGTATCTGTTTGTTGAAATATCTCAGTTACTATTGTACCAGTTTCTGGAGACGTGTTTTTTGTCAATGCCGTTAGTGCAACTTATACTTCCGTTTTTTAATACTATCATTTCTTGATAATATGATGTTACCTCCTCAAATAGTTGAATGTTGAGCAATCATTATTTTTGTATATATGTGAAATGTTTTAGTAGAAGTTTATTATTTTTTAAACCATTTTGACATATAATTCATGTACCATACAATTCAGTGGTTTAAATGTATTAAAAAGAACTGTGTAATCATCACTACAATCAATTTTAGAACATTTTCTAAATGTTCTAAATAGGTACATTCCTGTACCTTTTATTACCTCCCCACCTTCTTCTGCCCATTACCCTCCAACTTCTTTTGCCATTAATCTAGTTACTGTCTCTTTAGATTTACTTATCCTGCATTTCATATAGAGAATATCATACCAAAAAATCCCAACAACAACCACCCCAAAAGAAAATACAGAAAAAAGACCTGAATCTAAGAGAAAGCACAAAATAATAGAAACTAGACCAAATAAAAATAGGTTGAAAGGGAAAACAAATGATAATATATTAAATTTACCCTAACTGTATCACAATAATCCATTTTCCAATACTCTCTGTCAGAGGGCAAGGCTATTCCTATCCTTGTTAGTGGTTGGAGGGGAGTCAGTGAAGGCTTAATTAAATGGGGACTTTGCAGATGGATTTTGGACTTTCATTATCATCCTTCTACAAACTTGGGTGTGAACAAGTATTTTTGGTTCTGTTACTCTATATATTTCTTCTGTGTATTCATTGATCCTTTCTACTTTGTTCAGTATTTTTCTCATAGAATGGTTCAGTTGTGCAATTTGAGGCATGAAATAGTTTTCTTTCAGCTTCAGAAACGCTGAACATGCTTTTCTTCCCTCTTGATGTTCTAACTCAAAGCATTGCCCATGACATTGAAATATGTTCTTTGCATGAACTCTTTTGTTTAGCAATTTTATACCATCATTCCTTCCATTTGCTTTAGTTTCCCTATCTTTAAAAAATGTTTTAAAATCATTTTATTGGGGCTCTTACAGCTCTTATAACAATCCATACATCAACTGTATCAAGCATATTTGTACATATATTGCCATCATCATTTTAAAAATATTTTCTTTCTGTTTGCTCCCTTGGTATCAGCTCCTCTTTTCCCCACCTCACTGCCCTACCCTCCCTCCCTCATGGACCCCTGGTAAATTATAAATTCGTATTATTTTCATATCTTACACCACGCGCTGTCTCCCTTTGCCCACGTTACTGTTGTTTGTCCCCCTGGGGAGAGGGTAGGGACAGTTTCTCTATCTTAAGGAGAACGTTCTAACATTAGCTTTGGTCTTTTCTTCCCTTTTAATCTTTTTAATGGTGCTTTGCTTTCTTCATGCATGGCATACTTGATGTCTCCCCACAACCCATCTGATCTTGGTTATTTGTTTTCAATTCATTGAATCTATTCTTGACATGATCTCTAAATTCAGGTGGACTATATTCAAAAATCATACTTTGGCTCTCATGAACTTGTTTTTAATTTTCTTTATTTTCAACTTGAACTTGCATGTGAACAATTGATAGTCTTTTCTACAGTTGGCCTTGTCCTTGTTCTCACTTATGATATTGAGTTTTTCTGTCATCTTATCAACAGATATAGTTAATTTGATTGCTATATGTTCTATCTAGTGAGATCCACATGGATAGTCATTGTTGATGTTAAAAAACTGAATGTTTAATGAATAAGTATTAGTCCTATAAAATTGTATCATGCTATCTCTGGTCATTTCTATCACCAAGGCCATCTTTTCCAAGGTCATAGGATGATTAATAATCAAAAGTGATGACGTGGTTCCATGTGATACTAACTAAAGAAGCTGATGTAGTTCTAGTAATAGCAGAGTAAATTTTAAACCAAAAAGTATTATAAGGGGTAATGGAGAATATTTTATAATGAATCAAAATGTCAAGCCATTGGGAAATCTTATTATCTTTCAATTCCATTTTTCCTGGAACTATTTAAAGCCTTTTCTCATAACCATTCTAAAAACATATTCCACATATAAAGCAAAAAAATGATAATGATATAAAATGTGTCGATGCACTATACATATACAGAAAAGTATACCTCTGAACAGTACAGTGAGTTATTGCAAAATGAGCTTACCTGTTTACTTAAGATGCACAACATTGCCTGCTCCTCAGAAGACCCTCCTGTGGCCTCTTCCAATTACTCTTCCTGGCCTCTTCTCCAGAGGTCAACTATTTTGACTCCTCATACCAGATCACTTAGCCTGATTTTGAACTCTACATAATAAAATAGAATCATCAAGGGTCCCTGATGGTGCTGAGGGACTGCTAACCTCTAGGTTGGCAGTTCAAACCCTCTAGACGTTCTGAGGGAGAAAGATGAGGCTATTTGCTCCTATAAAGATGTACAAGAGGGTTGCTTTGAGCCAGATTGACTTGATGATGGTGGTCTAGGTTTTGTTAAAATGGAATTATCTGTATTTTGTTGTTGTTGTTCTTTGGCCAGTATTACATTTGTGCTATATGTTTTTAAATATATCCTGTGAATAACTTGCTATTATTTTCTTGCCATTTCAGATAATTTAGAGAACAATTATGACAGCTTACGTGTGCTAAATGTTGAAAGAAATGGAAATGTTATTTATACTTATAAGGTATGCTTATGTTCTTTTTAACATAATTCTATGCAATATATTACTTTGGTGTAATGCATAAGGCTTGTCCTTTGACGTTTAATGAGTGACTTTTGTTCTTTTTTGGGTGAGATTTAATATGGCGATTGGAAATTTGTGTTTACAAATAGTCCTATTTCTGTTAAATAAAAGAATATTGAATGTGCATAATATCTAGCACAGTGTCCAAATTTTTTGAATATGAAAGTAAAAAAATTCCATTTCTTAGAAGAAAAATGCTATGTAAAAGATTTTAAACCTAAATTGATATGTTAAATTATTATCTTTGAAAAACTTAAATATGATTATGTTGTTCTTTCAGACTGACAAAAGCTATGTTGGGATTTCTGTGGCATTGTTACTTAACAAGGTGCCTTGAAAGTTAAATGTTCTCAGGAAAAACCTTAACTGGATTTGGGAAACATGAAAGAATAATTTCAATGTTCAGTTAGCTGTGCTCAATTGTATCACTCTACTTTCTTGATTAAAAAAAACAAACTACTATTTTCAATCATATATCTAAGGGCATTTAAGGAATTGTATGACACAGAAGTTTTACTTCTAAGAATAACCTGGCCATGTTCTAACCACTCCCATTACCTATGCTGTATCTTTTGTTAAGGTGTAAATGGAAGTACAAAAAAACTAGCTTTTGGAAACACAGGGAATCCAGTACAGATAAAACCCTCAGGACCAATAATGAGAGTAGTGATACCAGGAGGGGAAGGGAAAGGTGGAGGGAGAAAGGGGGAACCAATCACAATGTTCTACTATAATCCCCTCCCTGGGGGAAGGACAACAGAAAAGTGGATGAAAGGAGACATCAGTCAGTGTGAGACTTGAAAAAATATTAATACGATAATTTATAAATTATCAAGGGTTCATGAGGGAGGGGGGGCAGGGAGGGAGGGAAAACGAGGAGCTGATTCCAATGCTCAAGTAGAAAGAAAATGTTTTGAAAATAATGATGGCAACAAATGTACAAATGTACTTGACACGATGGATGGATGGATGGGTTTTGACAAGAGTTGTATAGGCCCCAATAAAAAGATTAGTTTCTTTCAAATGCTATGTTCTACTCTACAGGCCCTGCAAGCCTAGCCAGGATCCTGAACATCCCTTTAGAGCTGAGAATCCCGAACAGGTTCTGCTCCTTCTGACAGGCAGAGCAGGCCACCTTTAGAGTGCTGTTGTTAAGATTGGTTGTATTATTGATTGCAATTTTTTTCAAACTAGTAACATTCTAAGCAATGATATTTAATGAGCGTTTGGTTAAATTTTTTCTTTCAGGATAAGGGAAATACCTTCTTTGGAGTCTATGATTGCCAAACCAGACAAAATGAGGTAAAGATGAAATAAAACCCCATAGATTACTCATTAGTTACTTGGTTGCTTTTAGATTATTCTTCCTTTTTTAAAAAAGAAATTAATAAATCATTTTATTGGGAGCTCTTACAGCTCTTATAACAATCCATACATCAATTGTATCAAGCACATTTGTACATATGTTGCCATCAATATTTCCAAAACATTTTCTTTCTACTTGAGCACTTGATATCAGCTCCTCTTTTCCCCCCTCCCTCTCCCACCCTCTCACCCTCGTGAACCCTTGTTAATTTATAATTTATTTTTATTTTCATATTTCACATCGTCCACTTTCTCCCTTCACCCTCATTTTTGTTTTTCAGTCTCTGAGTGTGTGTGTGTATGTGTGTGTGTGGGTGGGGGGGGTGTTGTACGTCAATCATTGTGATCTGTTCCCCTTTCTCCCCCTTCTCCCCTGACCTTCCCCCTACCTTCATGGTATCACTGCTCTCATTATAGGTCTTGAGGGGTTTATCTATCCTGAATTCTATGTGTCATGAGCTCTTATCTGTACCAGTGTACATGCTCTGGTCTAGCTGGATTTGTAAGGTAGCACTGAGGTCATGTTAGGTGGGGGCAGGAAGCACTAAAGAACTAAAGGAATATTGTGTGTTTTGTCAGTGATATACTGTACCCTGGTTGGCTCATCCCTTCCTTGTACAGATGGGCTTTGGGTCGCGGCTCCTACCCCCTTGTTCACATCAGAATGGTTGTTTGTTTTGGGTCTTCTGATGCTTAATATCTGATCCCATCAACACCTCACGATCACACACGTTGGTGTGCTTCTTCCATGTGGGCGTTGTTGCTTCTGAACTAAATGGCCGCTTGTTTATCTTCAAGCCTTTAAGACCCCAGATGCTATATCTTGTAATAGCTGGGCACCATCAGCTTTCTTCACCCATATGCACCCATTGTCTTTGTTATTAGAACAAAGTGCTCTTGCATTGAGGGAGAACTTGAGTAGAGGCCCAAAGTCTACTGCAGACCTTTGTTATTGCACAGAAGAGTAGGTGTGCGCTAAGCTGGTTTAATACAAATAATGAGCGGACTTTGCTGGGAAGTGGAGACAAGCTCTGTTTCCCACTGGGTTTTGTGACATGTGAAGGAAGGCCTGGAACGACTTTGGCTTTGGAGCATAGAACCTGTTTGGCCTCTGGAGGGAGACCGAAAATGGACTGAACCTAGAAAACCGAGCAATAGGGAATTCTAACTGTGAATCAAGCAAATTCTGAAGCCATACACTTATATCGTATTATACTATGAGACACCAGTGGTCTTTGAACATAAGCTAGTGTGAGGCAGAATTTTTATTGCTTAAAAACCAAAAAGTTCTGACACTTGAATACCTTTTGTTTTAAAAATTTCACTTTGAAGCTTTGAGTCTACAAAATAACTGTAGAAGTTCACAAAGATGAATGTAAAAGAAGGTTCATTGAATTATTATAGTACCCCAAATATGAAGCTGTCCAAATGCTTATAAGTAAATGTTTTTTGAAATTCATACATTCATTAGGAAGCAAAGCTATGGATAGAGTTATACGCATAGGTGTGCACTTATGTAAATACATTAATTCATATAAATTGAGGTATTGGCCGATATGCATATATCTATATGGCAGTAAACTGAGGCAGTGGATGGTCTTAGGGCCTCTGCTCAAGGCCTCCCTCAACACAAGAACACTTTATTCTAACAACCTGGCATTCTGTGATGCTCACATTGCCAGCACGATCACCGAAGACAAAATAGGTGCATAAGCTAATACGGTGAAGAAAGAAGATGGTGCCCGACTATTACAAAATATAACATCTGGGGTCTTAAAGGCTTATAATTAAACAAGCAGCCATCTAGCAGGGAAGCAACAAAGCCCACATGGAAGAACCACACCAGCCTGTGTGATCATGAGGTGTTGACAAGATTGGGTAACAGGCATTAGAAGACCACAAGCAAACAAACAAACAAACAAACAAACAAACAAACAAACAAATAAACAAATTATTGAGAATGAGGAGGGTCAGAGCAGAGACCCCAAACCGATCTGTAGACAATAGGACATCCCCTCACAGAAGGGTCAGAAGGAAGGGATGAGTCAACCAGGGTGCAGGAAAGCACAGATGAAAGCACACAATATTCCTCTGGTTCCTTGAGGCTTCCTCACCCCACACTATCATGACCCCAGTCCTGCCTTTCACTTCAGGCTAAACCGGAGCATGTACAGATAAGAATCCAGGAACAAGAAAGGGAGTGGCAATACCAGAGGGTAGGGGAAAGGTGAGAGGAGGGGAGGAAGGAAGCACTGATCCCAATGATTGACACAAAACCATATTCCCCCCTCTCCCAGGGGGACAAACAGCAGAAACCATGGAGGAAGGGAGATAGTGGTCAGTGTAAGATATGAAAATAATAATTTATAATTATCAAGGGGTCGCCGGGGGGGCGGGGCGGGGAGGGGAAAATGAGCTGATATCAAGGGTGCAATAGAAAATAAATATTTAGAAAATAATAATGGCAACATATGTACAAATATGCTTGATACAATTGATGTATGGATTATTACAAGAGCTGTAAAAGCCCCCAATAAAATGATCTTTTAATAAAAGAAAAATGTTTTCTTTTTTAATTTTATCATCTTTCCATTCCATTTTTTTCATGAACTTTTTGCAGCTCCCTTATATTACTGTTATATGCAAAAAGCAAGTTGCTAGAAAAATACCCTCCATATATGTTAAAAACATTTGCAAAAAACCCTATGCTCTTCATGTGAATACACATATATGAGGGAGTACACCCAATAAAAAACAGAAATTTTTTTCAAAGCTAAGTATTTAAATTTTTTTTTTTTTACAAAACAATCTGTGATTCCAGTCTTGGAAACATTTTTCAAATTCATCTGTTTGGATGACTGTCAGCACCTCCCTCATTTTTATCTTCACGTCCTCTGCGTCATCCAATCACTGTCCATTCGTGTCCCTCGTCATTTTCAGAAACAAAAGGAAGTCGCACTGAGGGAGGGCAGGTGAGTAAGGTGTGTGGAGCAAGAGAGGCATGCTGGTTTTTGCCAGAAACTGGGTGCACTGAGATGGCTGGGTGAGCAGGTACATTGTCGTGTGGCAGAACCAGCCCCCCATTTGCCACAAATCAGGCCTCTTTTGTTGCACACTGTTATACAATCTTTTCAGAACCTCTAGAGCAGTGGTTCTCAACCTTCCTAATGCCGCGACCCTTAATACAGTTCCTCCTGTTGTGGTGACTCCCCCAACCATAAAATTATTTTCGTTGCTACTTCATAACTGTAATTTTGCTACTGTTATTCATCAGGTGACCCCTATGAAAGGGTCATTCGACCCCCAAAGGGGTCGAGAGCCACAGGTGGAGAACCGCTGCTCTAGATAGAAAGCTTGATTAACAGCCTGACCTGGTGGAGCGTACTCCAAACGCACTATCCCCCTCACATCAAGAAAAACAAATGAGCATCGGTTTTTTTTTCGGTGCCCCCTTGCATATCAAAAACAGAAAACATCTGAGAGGCTTCCGAGCACATTATAAAGCACATTATAGAACACATATATTTCCTTTGGGAAGGGGGTTGCGATTGGGTGCGCATATTGGAAGAGTTGACTTTTTTATTTGGTAGTGTTTGCATCTTTTAAACAGTGAGACTGTTTATTTAACCATTAAAAGGATAAAGCATTTAAAACTCTGATTATATCTGTGAGTCTTCTTGCCTATAAATTGGAATCCCTCGGAGCAAAGGACACCAAAACTTCTCAGTGCCTTCACATTTACTCAAAGGTCCCTTTCTTGGCTGTCTCAACCCTTTTCACCTGCTCTGACCACAAGATTTTAGTGCGGTTTCAGTGTTTGCCTCGTCGACAGGTGCTAACTACTTTCTTAATACACCTGCTATTCGATGCTTCCCCTAGCGTCTCTCCTGTGCCCTCACATGTGTTATCGTTTCTTTTTTATTCTCTACGAGTTTGCCTAACACAGCTGTGATTGTCTCCAGTTCCGCAGTCTGCACATCACATTCTCCTTCTTAATGACCCTGTGCATGCTCTCTGCTACTCAATGAAGGGGAGTCTTGCAACAGTTTGAGATTTTCAAATAGCAACTAGAAAATTGAAAAATAGAAAAGGAAAGATTAAATAAAGGTAAAGGGACTACTTTTACCAGTCTTCTGAATGAGAGCCCTGTAGCAGATGTACTGTAACAGTCTCTAAGAAATCACGAATATATTATAGACAACTGTGTGATTTGCTGAGCACTTTTACTGCCTCACTAATTATAGCAACTAATGTTTGAGTGGGTTTTATGTGTGACAGATAATGTAGTATATGCCCCAGATGGGTCATCTCACGTGATTTTTGCTGTGAGACAGGCATTGCTATTTTACTGAAGGGAAGGTAGAGAGGTTGAATAATTTGTCCAAGGTCAACACAGCTGCGAGTGGCAGAGTCAGGATTTGAACGTGGGTCTAGTTTGGCTCCAAGATCCATGCTGTCATGCACTAGGATCTGTTGCTTCCTGGCTAAATTTCAAACACAACCGATTTAAACAGACTTTATTCTTCAAACCAACCCAAACAAGCAAACAAACAAAAAACACTAGAAATTCTCAATGTGGATAAACTAATTTTTGGTGACTTTTAAATAAAATGTTTAGCCACAATAATGTTTAGTAGAGAACTAAATGGGTATTTATACTCATAATTGTTATTTGATGTGAAAGGCTGTATTTAAAAAAAAATCTATTTTCTTCCCTTTTAAACAGCTTCTGTATTCCTTTGAGACCAACTTACAAGTTATCAGTTGCTCTGTCAACAGAGAGAGAACTTTGCTTGGTAAGCTGAACACCTCTATTGCTTCATGTTAAGAACTCAACTTTACATTGGAAATTTTAAAGTTAGAACTAAATTTTAAAGGGTCTCAAAATATAAGGGGGCTTCAAAAAGTTTAGAATTTTTCTATCATCTTTTAATTACATTATTATTATTTTTAACCAGGCATTTAAATTCCATAACAGCCAACTTCTACTCTTGCATCCACAAGTACTTCCTGGCTGGCTGCAACACCCATCTTAGGGTATGCCTACACCTCTTCCCTGGCACCACCCTTGCCCCATCTATCCCAAGCTTACCCATCCTCCGAGGCCCACCTGAGTTTTCTTTTTTTCAGAAAGTCTCACTGACTGCTCCTGCCCACATCCATGGCCCCTCTTCCCAAAACAAATTAACATGAGCTGGCTATACTATCTGTTTCTTGACTGCCTCATGGTTGGAAGGGACTTATTTACGTTTTTCCATGAACTTTTTGAAGCACCCTCATATTGGATTCTTGCAATAGTAGATTATTCTGTAATTATATTTTGGGGGGATGGCGCCATTCCTGGGGAATTCGGTTTGAAATAAAAGATCTGTAGGTTATAGCTACTAAGATGAGTGCTTGGTACTTTGCCTTAATCATTCCCTGACAATTTGTTTTGAACCTTTATTTATTTCAGCTCTAAAATGGTGAACTATAATGAGTCACCAAATAGATCAGTTGCTAATGGATGTTTTCTTTGTTTTCTACTAGCTGTAAGTTTAGTTCAGTCTACTGAAGAAGGACGAAGGAATGAGCTTCAACCAGGTAATGACGTGGTACTTTCTAGTGCCTGTTCGGAGATAGAGATTCATTGGACTATTCAGCCAAATTTGATGCCTTGTTAGAAATAGCTTTATCTGAGAACGAGAAGGCAATCAGGTTATGGCAAGTGTGAACAAGCTTCTTTTTTTAAAAGTACACAGGAAATTGCAGGGAATAATATACCATGAATTTTTTTCTTTACTTCTTTTTTCATTCCCAGATTTTAAAAAAAGTTTTATTGGTACTTCATCCATATCATACAATTCAATAGTTCAATCATATCAATCTTTTTACTTCTATATGGTTAAATGCCTCCTGCATTGTGAATAGTCCACTAATCCCTTCCCTCAGAAATGAAACCCCTTGCTTTCAAGTCAATTCCTCCTCATAGTGACCCTGTGGGACAGATTGGAGCTGCTCCGTAGGGTTTCCAGGGCTGTGATCTTTAATGGAGCAGACTACCTCATCGTTCTCCCAGGGAGTAGCTGGTGGGTTAGAACCTCTGACCTTTCTGTTTGCAGTCAAGTACGTTAACCAGTGAGTGATCAGAGGTTCTTTTTCAGCTAATATTAAATAAAAATTAATTTTAATCATTTATCAAGGACCACTTCATATTTTATTATCTATGTGATGCCTTTTTCAGGGGCAGGAGGTGCTAATCTGGCTGTAATTTCGTTGAGTTATTCATTCATAATTTGACAAAGATTGAGTGTTTATCGTAGTGGTGTGCGAGACAAGCATGATGACTGTTCTCATGGTATAGATAAGAAGTGCAATTCCAAAGACATACAAGGGCTGGAAAGATTATGTAAGTGAGTCAAGTAGACTGAATGTAAGTAAAATCATGAGGCCATTGAATTTTCTCTTTATCTCGATTTTAACATAGAAATTGAGACATACCGTAATTGTTCTCTGTGATAGAAACAAAGCTATCAGGAACTATTGGTGGGGTGGGTATATACCACATCTCCCATGCAGAATCGTTATTTAGCTCTAGCTTGCTTACATCTAAGCTCAACGGGGACAGTTTTTTAAATTTTATATAGAGAAATTTATGAATTTATCCAGAAGAGTCTGGACTTCTTAAGTTTTAAGTCTGTATTTTAAAATCTAATTTAATGTTAGAGCAAATATTTGGTTTTAAAAAAAGTCATTTTCAGGCAATGATAACCATCTCTGGATGGGAACCAGCAATGGACGACCGTTTTTCAACTTCTCGTCCAATCTTAATGGTCGATCTTACATCAATCTCTTCCTACTCTGATTCTACAGCATCTCACACCTTTTGTTTTTCTTATTGGCCCTTAAGTTTCCTCTTTTGTTAGCATAGTGTAGTTCCCGCTTGGATGAACTCTCCAGGTGGTGGCTTGTGTTGGAAAAATCCTTTCTACATACTTTCCACACGAGGTTTAAGAGGCAGGCTTGGGCCTCTGACACACACTTTCCGGAGAGACACCTTAGCCCGGCAAGGGAAACCAGAGCAGAGTCTGCCTGGGACCTTCTCTGAAGCCTCATTGAGGAGGTTATGGGAAATGTTGGGTCTCCCTGAAATCTCATTGTATTACCCTCCGGTCTTACCTTCCTACCATGTTACCCTGAGAACCACAACTGTTTCCTTCCCTCTGCTGGGCCATGTTCATCTCTTACTGGGCCCCTTGGCACTCTCTGCTCCTCATCAGAGATGCTGGGACTTGACTACCTTAAGCGAAATGTGACCTAGCACATTGGTGTCCTGACCCCTACACCAAAGATATGGGCAAACTAGAGGATGGTCAACTAGAGGGCTGCCTCCTGGCATAGTAAATCCATTATCCAAGAAGGGCAAAGTCTATTTGCTTGTACTTTATTTTGATTGCAAGGCTGGGCATCTATACATGCTTCAGATTAGCTCTGTGCCTCCCTGTGCTTCCTAGACTTTAGACATTCCGTTGAACTATAGACATTCTTTATTATGCTGATGAACAAAATAAATTCAGTTGTTTGACACCAACTACAAATGTGGCATTACTGTCTCTCTCTCTGACCTCCTGAGTGACAGGACATAGTCCCACAGGCTGCCAAGATTTCAGATGCCAGCCACAAGATTGCAGGTCCCCAAGACACCCTCACTTTTGACCTACATGCTTCAAAATGTCAGCCGTAAGCTCAGGACATCCTGCCTGGTCCGCCTCACTTCTGCTCCATTGAGCCCCATTACTTCCTTGTTCATGAAAATGACTAACACAACTCAATGAAGGGTTGTATTTAGAACTACAGCTTTATTTTAGTGAAAAGGATACAAGTGAGCACACATAGGGTGAGGTCTGGAATTATTTCCAGTGGAGCTTCTATGACTGAAAAAAAAAAAAAAAGCTCCTCTCCTTATGTATCAATGTCCTTCATCAATCAGGAAACTCATAGGAATTCAGTACTCAAAAATTTTATATTGGAGTCTCATTACATAGGCATGATTGATTTTCTCATTGCCTGTGTGGTTGGATTCCCACTACCCTCCTCTGATATCACATGGTATGGTCTTCTTGCCTGGCCAGTGTTTCCCTGTAAGCCACATACTCAGCATTACATATTAGGTAGATGGTGGCATAGAGGGTTATGTGTTGGCCTGCTAACCACAAGGCTGCCATTTCTAAACCACCAGGTGCACCTCGGGAGAAAGGTGAGGCTTTCTACTCCAGTAAGCAGTTACACTGTTGGAAAACCACCAGGGTAGCTCTACCCTGTCCCACTGCGTGTCGATGACTCGTAATGGACTCAATGGCAGTGAGTTTGGCTTGTTGGTATTAGGTAGGTGTAATCTGGAGTTCTTTGAATACCGAGCACTGCTGTCGCTGGAGAGGGCTATCAGGCTTGGTCATGCAGAGGATCTCAAATAAAGAAGACCCTCAGTGAGCTGGATCGACACAGTGGCTGCCACGATGCATTTGATCTAGACCAATTATGAGGAAGGCGCAGGAACAGGCAGCATTCCTTTCTGTTGAACTTGGGGTTCTGTTGTACGGGAAGTCCCGATGAGTCAGAACCCCCCCCCCTCCCCCGCCCCACCCCTCCCCAGGGCTCCTATTGCACACAACAATGTACTCAAACACTGGAGACATTCCAAGTTCTCAGGAACCAAAGGCAAAGATGAAAATTCTGTGGATAAATGATTGTTGTGTGCTCGTCAGTCAATTCTGACTGATAGGACAGGACAGAGAACAACCACCCTCTGTCGGGGTCCTAGGCTGAAATCTTTTTAAAAAATCATTTTATTGGGGGCTCATACAGCTCTTATCACAATCCATCCATCCATCCATTATATCAAGCACATTTGTACATCTGTTGCCATCATCATTCTCAAAACATTTGCTTTCTACTTGAGCCCTTGGTATCAGCTCCTCATTTTCCCCTTCCTGCTTCCCCTTCCCTCAGGAACCCTTGATAATTTATACATTATTATTATTTTGTCATATCTTACACTGTGCGATGTCTCCTTCACCCACTTTTCTGTTGTCCATCCCCCAGGCAGGAGGTTATATGTAGATCCTTGTATTCAGTTCCCCCTTTCTACCCCACCGTTCCTCCACCCTCCTGGTATCGCCACTCTCACCACTGGTCCTGAAGGGATCAACTGACCTGGATTCCCTGTGTTTCTAGTTCCTGTCTGCACCAGTGTACATCCGCCGGTCTAGCTGGATTTGTAAGGTAGAATTGGATCATGATAGTGGTGGTGGTGGAGGAAAGCATTTAAGAACTAGAGGAAAGTTGTATGTTTCATCGTTGGTACACTGCACCCTGATTGGCTTGTCTCCTCCCCGTAACTCTTCTGTAAGGGGATGTCTAGTTGCCTACAGATGGGTCTTGGGTCCCCAATCTGCACTCCCCCTCATTCACAATAATTTTATTTTTTGTTCTTTGATACCTGATACCTGATTCCTTTGACACCTCATGATCACACAGGCTGGTATGCTTCTTCCATGTGGGCTTTGTTGCTTCTGAGCTAGATGACCACTTGTTTGTCTTCAAGCCTTTAAGGTCCAAGATGCTATATCTTTTGATAACCTAGGCTGAAATCTTTAGGGGAGCAGACAGCCAGTTTTTTTCTCTCTTTTAGTTGCTGGGTTGGAACTGTCGGCATTTGGTTAGCAGTTGAGCCTTAACCAATACACCACTCAACTTAAAAACCAAACTCACTGCCATCCAGTCAGCCTGACTCATAGTGGTCCAGAGGACAGGGTAAAACTGCCCCCATCAGTTTCCAAGACTGTAACTCTTTACAGGAGTAGGAAGCCTCAATTTTCTCTCGAGGAGCAGCTGGTGGTTTTGAACTGCTGACCTTGTGGTTAATAGCAAAATGCATAACCACTACCAGGGCTGTCAATGCACCACTAGAGTTCCTAATTAAAAGTTTGATGCATCACACATAATAAGATTATGTTCTCATTTCTCAAAAAATATTAAAAGGGCCATTCTTAGTTATTTTGATGGATATACCATAGAGCAAACCAAAACTTACTGCTATTGAGTTAATTCAAACTTATAATGACCATACAGGATAGAGTAGAATTACCCCATAGGGTTTACAAGGCTATGAATCTACTTAAAAAAACAAAAAACAAAAGCAACTATTTAGTGTATTATTGTAATTTGAGTGAAAGCTTACAAGAGCAAAATGATTTTCCACTCAACAATTCATACCCAGTGTGTCTCATGACTGATTGCAACCCCTCCAGTGTACCAGCACTCTTCCCACCTCCTCCCTATGCTGCCTGTTTCCATCTGCCCTGTTTTCCGAACTCTTCCTGATTTCTGAGCCTTGTTTCTGGGCAAATACTGCCTTTTGGATCTCTTCGGGCTGTGTTCTTGTTCATTTTATTTGGTTGAAAGTTGGGCAGGGTGACTATGTTCAGTTCCAGGCTCGAAGGATGTCTAAGGAGGGCCATCTTCTTGGGAGTTCACCAATCTCTACCAGACCAATAAGCCCGATCCTTGTTATGAATTTCGGTTTTGTTCGACATTTTCTTCCC